ACCATCCGCACACCTCAGTCTGAACACCCAAGGACCCCTCCCGCCCGAGGTGGCTTTCAGTTGCTGTTGGCCACCGTGGGGAGCTTCTGTTTCAAGAACTGGGCAAAAGGGGCCGGGCGCGGTGGCTCACGCCTGTCATCCCAGCACTCTGGGAGGCCGAGGCCGGAGGATCCCTCAAGGTCAGAGTTCAAAAACCAAGCCTGAGGCAAGAGCGAACTCCGTCTCTACTAAAAATAGAAGAAAATTAATTGGCCAACTTGAATTATATAGAAAATGAAGCCGGGCGTGTGGCGCATGCCTGTTAGTCCCAGTACTCGGGAGGCTGAGGCAGGAGGATTGCTTGAGCCCAGGAGTTTGGAGGTTGCTGTGAGCGAGGCTGATGCACGGCACTCACTCTAGCCTGGGCAACACAGTGAGACTCTGTCTCAAAAAAAAAAAAGAACGAGGCAAGAGGAACTTCAGACGGGGGCGAGCAGGGTGCGTGACCCAGGCCCCCCCCCCGCCTCACTCACTGATCTGCTCCTCGATGGCGTGCACCAGGTGGATGTCGTACTGTGTCACCAGCGTGACGGCTTGTCCTTGCCGCCCTGTGGGGACGCAGCGCAGTCATCTGTCTGTCCCCGAGGAGCTGCAGACGCTGCAGAGTGGCAGCTCCCGCCAGCCAGGCCTCACACACAAGCTGGCAACTGGCTGATTTCCCTTTTCCGCTTGGCTGCCAAGGAGCCCGGGCTAAGTTATCTCTAAGCAGTTAGTCCCCATGGGCCTCTGCTCCCCATTTCTGCGACTGACTCGGGCTAGAATAGCGCTGACAAGGTTCACGGCCCTCACGGCAGCCCCCAAAATGCATCATGGTTATTGCTGTCCGCCACGTGAGGCCCAGGGAACAGACGTGACCTGCCCGGCGCCATGAGGTCAGGAGACAAGGGCCAGGCCCGGTCTGTCCTCAGGGACACATCTCTCCGGGTGCCAGGCGTGACAGAATCTCACCGACACGTGCCCTCCGGCAGGCTGGCCATGATGAGAAGACCCGGCCAAGTCACATGAGGAGGCCAAAGCTGGCCGTCCTGTCCGAGGGGGCAGGTTCTCACCCTGGGCCCAAAACTGGCGGTCTCCGGTCCGGAGGCAGTTCTCACCCTCGCCAAACTGGCCGTCCCGTCCGGAGGGGCAGGTTCTTTCATCGCCTCATCCCAAACTGGCCGTCCCGTCCGGAGGGGCAGGTTCTCACCCTGGGCCCAAACTGGCCGTCTCGGTCCGAGGGCAGGTTCTCACCCTGGGCCCAAACCTGGCCGTCCTGTCCGGAGGGGCAGTGTACTTCCCGCTCGCGCCAACAGGACTGGCCGTCCCGTCCGGAGCAGGTTCTCATCCCTGGCCAACTGGGCCGTCCCGTCCGGAGGGCAGTTCTACCCTGGGCCCAAGCTGGCCGTCCGGTCGGGAGGGCAGGGTTCTCAACCCTGGGCCCAGACTTGGCCGTCCGTCCGGAGGGCAAGGTTCGTCACCCTCCATCCCAAACTGGCCTCCCGGTCGGAGGGCAGGTTCTCACCCTCATCCCAAACCTGGCCGTCCCGTCCGGAGGGGCAGGTTCTCACCCTGGGCCCAAACTGGCCGTCCCGTCCGGAGGGGCAGGTTCTCACCCTCATCCAAACTGGCCGTCCCGTCCGGAGGGGCAGGTTCTCACCCTCGGGGCTTCTCATCTCCTGGCTGCCGGGCTCCGACTGAGAACTCCGGCAGGAAAAGGGGGCTGGGGCGGTGTGTGCCACCTTCCCAGAGGACGGCCACGTGCCACTCGGCACGACCCAGGCCATGTGGGGACGGCAGAGCACCCCTCGCCTTTGCGTTTGAAAGGACGGTCACCCCAACTTGCAAACTGTTACCCCTGGCAGCTATCACCGGAGGGCTACACCCCACCCGGTCCCACCCACTCACGACCTGCTGGAGGGACAGGTGCGGGGCTGCCCGGCCGCTCACCTGCACGGGCAGTCCGGCCAACTCGGTGGATGTAGATCTTGGGGAGCCCGGGGGTGTTGTGGTTGATGACCACCTGCACTGTGGGGATGTCCAGGCCCCTGCAGGCAGACGCCCGTCAGCCCAGCGCCCGTGTGGGGAGCCCGGGGGTGCTGTGGTTGATGACCACCTGCACTGTGGGGATGTCCACCGAGGTCCCCCTCCTCGGAAGTTGGGGCCGCCTGACCTGGACCCAAAGCCAGCCTCTCCCTGTGACCCTGCCTCTGTCCCTGCCTCGGGGCCTGGCTGGGCCGCTGTAGGGGAGGGAGGGAGGGACGGAGGGAGCCAGGCAGGAGTGGAACCCGGACCCTGCGGCCACTCACCGGGAAGCCACGTCTGTTGCGATCAGGATCCGGTAGATGCTGGACTTGAACTTGGCCAGGGCGGCAAAGCGTTCTTTCTGCACGGGCCGGGGAGAGACGTGCGAGTGGGTGGGGGGAGGGGACGGGCCCTGCCCCCGCGGGGCGCAGTGCGCTGAAGCAGGTGGCCGTGAAAGGCCAGGCAGGGACAACCGAACAGGGGCTGGGTGAGGCGACCCGGGGAGGGCCTCGCCGAGCAGCGACCTTTAGGGACCAGGGGAGAGAAGGCAGCGGGAAGAGGGCTGCAGGCAGGGGGACGAGCCCGCGCAAAGGCCCTGGGGCTGGTGGGTACGGCGCGGCCTCACCTGCTTCATCATGGAATGCAGAGCCACGGCGGGGAAGCTGAACTTGCGCAGCATCATACACAAGATCTGGCAGGTCCTGGCGGGAAGGGAGCGCCCCGTCAACCCTCCGGGCTCTGGGGACCTGGGGAGGCATTCCTGCCCCCACGCACCCCTGGAGCCCAGGCAGGTGGCCCTGCTCAGCTTAGAGGAAAGGCAGGATGTGGGGCGTCAGCCGTCCTGCCTGCCCCATGTCCTCTCCCTCCTTAGGCCCGGGACTGCCGCTGGGGCTTGGGAACAGGTGTACTCTCTTTCTGTCTGCTGGGTCTCTAGGGCTGGAAACTGAGCTGCTAGGGACAGGTACTATCACCAAGAAGGCAGGGCCTCCCAAGAGGGAGGCAGCAGAGGAAAACAGAGTTCAGAGATGGGCACAGAGAGAACTCTGGAACCATCACGTAAGCTGCTGGATCCTGCTGTGCCTGACAGCCACCTCACAGCCAAACTTTGCTCTTCTGGGAGCCAGCACGTTTGAACTGTCTTGATTTCTGCCCTGCTGTCCGGGCTCATGCTGGAATAGCCCACGGCTTCTTGATGACGTCCCCGAATAGCTCAAAGGAGGAACGGATGCAGGCTGCCCCCGCGGGTCTCTATGTGGCTGCTGACACACACCAGGCCTCAGTTAACTGTCCCGACTCCCTGTGACACGGGACTGGAGGCCCAGGAAAGCTCAGTGACGCCCCAGAGCACGGTGACGAGGCTGCAGAAACCGCGGCTTGCAGGGCTTTCTCGGCCCTTCATCAGGGCGGGGCTGAGGAACCCTGAAGCCAGAGGGCTCTCCCTTCAGATGGGCTGACCAGCTTTTTTTTTTTTTTTTTTTAAACTGGAGACAGAGTCTCACTCCCTGCTGCCGGGCTAGAGTGAGTGCTGTGGGCGTCAGCCTCGCTCACAGCAACCTCAGACTCCTGGGCTCAAGCGATCTTCCGCTAGCTCAGCCTCCGAGTACGCTGGGATACAGGCCATGCGCCACCATGCCTGATTATTTTTTTCTTATATATTTTAGTTGGCCAATTAATTTCTCTCTATTTATAGTAAGAGACGGGGTCTCGCTCTTGCTCAGGCTGGTCTCGAACTCCTGACCTTGAGCGATCCACCCGCCTAGGGCTCCCAGCGTGCTGGGATGACAGGCGAGCCCGCCCGCGCGCCCGGCCTTGACCCGGCTCACTTGCAAGGAAGCCCCCGAGTAACCCTCTGTCCGGAAGCGCAGATTAACACACTAAAAGGAGCATCTCGGGCAGGAGTAGGGCGCCACCAGCAATTTACTTACATACGGCGTGAGACAGGCACCAGCTATATGCGTTGTCCTCCACAGCATCCTGAGTGTATCTGCCACCAAATGGTGTTTTCCACTCCATGCCCACACCCGAGAGCGAGGTCCAAACCCCTCGCACGGAGAGTCTCATTCGTGGATGATCACACAACACAAGAGGACTTACGAGCCCACCCTTTCAAAAAACTTTTCCATTGAATGGAATTCACTGCCACATGAACAACCACGCCCAGTCAATCACACTCTGTCTGTTATCAGAACCACGAGGAAGGCGAGAGAAGATGATGATGGACCACGATTACCTAACAAGTCGCTCTCCATCTCTAGCGAGAAAGCTACTCCGCTCAGAAGTAGGAGCTAAACAACCAGGATAACGAGCACGTCCGGTTGCCACACATAGAGACTGCTCACTCGAGTGCACCCGGCAGCAGTAAGCGCTGGGTCCAGCTGCTCGTACCCGGAGAGTGCTTCACCACCTCTCGCGGCAGAGAGGCTCTTCCCTTCGCCAAGGACATTATCACGGAGATAATGAGCCTTTCCCCCCTTCAGCCACGCACCCCGCCGGGATATCAAACAGCCCGCCATCCTGTACCAATACCACCAGCCCCAAGCGGCCCAGCCCCTGGCACGGCCCATTGTGCGCTAACAGGGTTCCCCTGTGCCAACAGCAAAAGAATAGCCGACCAGAGAAGATAGAACACCAGGCCCTTTGTACGACTCCTTCTTCCGGAGCGCGTGAGACAACCAGCGCTGCCTGCTGAACAGGATCAAGAAGACCTTATCGGAGATCACACAACCAAACCATTACATGCAAGGCGAGATGACAGAGCCCTTCCCATTCGCTTAAGGGTCTATGCAAGTTACCCTGAGAGAGACATCACAAACAGTAAACATGTCGGAAATCCTGCCTAGTCACCTCATAGCCTCCACATCACAACATGGATGAGCGCGCGAGGAGGATAGGGAGTGCCGCACACATGAAGCCTCAGGTCTGGGGCCTGTCTCCACCAGCTCGCACAGAGCCCGTCGTTTGGGTCCCTGAAGAGTCCCTGTCACTGTTCCTAGCACTTGACCGGGTGGTCTAGGGGACACGCGGCTCCCAATCGGATGAGACAGTACCCCAGGCCGACGCTGGGCCCAGAGGCCCGACCCCAGCTCACGAGGTCCAAGAGGGCAGGGCCAGGCCGGCTCACCAGGAAGCGGATCTTCTTTATGCTGAAGGTGTTGGAGCTGCGGAGGTGATCGGCCAGGCGCCCCGGGGTGGCGATGACCACATGTGGTTTCCGGGAGAGCTCCAGAGCCTGGGCCACCATGTCTGGGGGCAGAGGGGGAGAGGCAGGGCTGGGCGAGTGGTCCGGGGCTGCAGAGGTCCTATACCCGGAGGGTCCCCCAGCCTCCCGGCCCCATACCCATGCCGCCGACGATGATGCAGTCTTTCAGGCCCAGAGGCTTCCCCAGGACCCGGAACTGCTCCGCGATCTGGTAGGCCAGCTCCCTGTGGGTGCGAAGGGGCCAGGCTGGGTCAGACTGCAGCTCTGCACCCTCTCTGTCCACGAGCTCTGCTCACGCCTCTCCCTGGCCTCCCGTCTTGCCCTCTCCTGCTCACACACCCTCAGAATCAATTCTAACCCTCTGCCTGGCAGTCAAGGCCCTTCTCGAACTGTCTCTGACACGCCTGGCCCCCGGCACCCTTCCTGCTCCTCGCAGCTCTCAGGCCTCTGCATCTGCGAGCCAGCAGGCCCCTCCTGCCTGGAACACCTTTCCCCAAACCTGTCCCTTCACAAGGCCCTTTTCATCTTTAAGGCACCCCTTGAATGAAGTCTTCCTCGACTCCCCCCTGCCCCCCAAACCCACAAGCCACACCATCAAGGAATGCCGTGCCCATCTCTCCTACTGCTGTTATAAGACTTATTATGTAAACTGCTGTGCGTGGCTGTCCAAGAAGGGGACGTGTCTGTCTATTTCTTTCTTTCCTTTTTCTTTTCCTTTTTTTGAGACAGAGTCTCACTGTTGCCCAGGCTAGAGTCCCGTGGAGTTAGCCCAGCTCACAGCAACCTCAAACTCCTGGTCTCAAGCAATCCTTCTGCCTCAGCCTCCCGAGTAGCTGGGACTACAGGCATGCGCCACCACGCCCGGCTACGTTTTTGTATATATTTTTAGTTGGCCAATTAATTTCTTTCTATTTTCAGTAGAGACGGGGTCTCGCTCTTGCTCAGGCTGGTCTCGAACTCCTGACCTTGAGCGATCCTCCCGCCTCAGCCTCCCAGAGTGCTAGGATTACAGGTGTGAGCCACCGCGCCCGGCCGACATGTCTATTTCTTGAACTATAAGACTACTGGCAGCTCCCTTCTGACCAGCACTTGCCCTAAGTCAATGCTGAGAAATGGTCACACACACCACCTTAATGCTGCAGCCCATCCTAAAAGGTGACCACGATTTCTGTCCCCATTTCACACATGGGGCAAGTGCATCTCTAGCCCAAGAGAACGACACTGGTTAACGTGCACCCAGGGGACCCATCGAAGGCTCACCTGGTGGGTGTCAGGACAAGGCAGAAGATGCCATAGGGATCCTCAGACAGCTTCTGCAAGATGGGAAGAACAAACGCCGCTGTCTTGCCGCTGCCTGTCTTGGCACAGCCTAAGCAGTCCCGACCTGGGCGGAGAGCAACACGGCATCAACACACTCCACGTGTGGACAGCTGTTCCACTGGACACAGTTTATGACAGCCTACGTTTAATGAGCAGCTGCTGCGAGCCCAGTCCTGGCCTATGGCTTTTCCATTGCGGGCACGCTGGCCACATTCCATCGTGGGCAAGTAACAAATCATAGAAGGGAAGGAGCCATCATCCCCTCCATTTAACAAAAGGGGAAACTGAGTCTCAGGGACTTCCTCAAGACACACAGCCGACGAGTAGCAGGCGGGACTGGGACCCCTATCCATCTGACCCAAGATGCCTGAAGCTTACCACCCTCATACCGATCCCTCCTGGAGAATCCGACTTTGAATCCCCTTCTCCAGTACAGCAGCCTATGCGCCTTGTTGACTCCTTCATTTCTGTTTGTTTGATCCCTCAACTTCTCACCTTCATTTCTGTTTGTTTGATCCCTCAACTTCTCACACGCTAAGCTTTCTGTGGGCATTTTTTTTTTTTTGAGACAGAGTCTCACTTTGTTGCCCAGGCTAGAGTGAGTGCCCTGGCGTCAGCCTCGCTCACAGCAACCTCAGACTCCTGGGCTCAAGCGATCCTCCTGCCTCAGCCTCCCGAGTAGCTGGGACTACAGGCATGCGCCACCATGCCCAGCTAATTTTTTCTATATATATTAGTTGACCAATTAATTTCTTTCTATTTATAGTAGAGACGGGGTCTCGCTCTTGCTCAGGTTGGTTTCGAACTCCTGACCTCAACCAATCCACCCACCTCGGCCTCCCAGAGAGCTAGGATTACAGGCGTGAGCCACCACGCCCGGCCTGTGGGCATCTTTTTAACAGCAAAACTGGGTTGAGCCAGAAGAGCGGGGAGAAGAATAGTCACAAGACCGCGGAGCCCTGGATATACTAGCAGGGTTGACAGCCCCGGTTCCTATTTGCAAAATGAAGATAGTCGTGCCAGCTCTGCCGAATCTTCACAGCACTATGGGGACAAGTTATCCATCAAACCCTCGCTGTCCTGAGGCTACGGAAAGTTTCCCAAACGCCAACACCGCCCAGCCTGCCTCCGGAGCCCAGGCTCCCCGCAACGCCCAAGGCTGCCCTCGTCGCGTGGGAGCGGCGTGGGCAAAGGCCACTAGTGGGGAAGGCGGGCGAGAGGAGCCATAACGCCTCTGGGGAAAGCCGCCGGGCCACACTCACCCTCCAGGATGGCGGGGATGCAGCCGAGCTGCACGGGCGTAGGCTGCTTCAAACCCAGCTGCCGACATTGTTCCACGAGCCACGAAGACAAGCCGAGTTCCGCGAAGCCGGCCATCCACGCCACCAGCCGTGTGCGTGTGTCTGTGTGTGTGTGTGGGAGGCTGTGAATCGCGCTTCCGGCGCGCCCCGACGACGTCACGAAACCTCCTTCCAGTTTATTGGATCGGGCCTCCCATGTGGTCCCACCTTCTCCAGCTCACTCTGCCAATCCCAGCCCGGACCATAGCCTCTCATCATGTTTCCCTAGATCCCATTGGCTCGCTGTATCAAATCAAACTACAATTCCCGAGGCGCCCTGCGAGACGCACTTGCGTCTCCCACCCCACCTTGCTCCCATGGAGAGAGACTCCCCATTGGCTTCTTTCCCTGCCACTCGAAATGAGTAAACTACATTTCCCAGCGTGCCCGGTCGTGGCGCTCTGCTTCCGGCCGACGTGTCTGTCAGGAAGAGGAGCCGGCGAGACCGTAGCGACATGGCGCCTCCGGCCCCCGGCCCGGCGTCCGGCGGCTCCGGGGAAGTGGATGAGCTCTTCGACGTGAAGAACGCCTTTTACATCGGCAGCTACCAGCAGTGCATCAACGAGGCGCAGCGGGTGAAGGTGCGGCCGCTCGGGGGCGTGGGGACGCTGGGGGCGGAGGCGGAGGGCGCTTCCTGGTTCCGAGGACTTTCCATCTTCTCCTCTTGGAGTTTTTCCTCCGCGCGCGCGTCTTCAGAGTGCGGCGGGAACGGTCACTGTCCCGTGACGAAACCCGAGGCTGTGACAGTTTCCGTCTCCTCACCTAGCGCTCACTGCGCCCTGGAAGGTGTTTGTGCCGCTGCAGTAACAATCCCGCGCTCAGTCCCCGCGAGAGAGGGGCCGGGGTTCATCCCCGTTTTACGGATAGGAACACCGAGGCCCAGAGAGAGAAGCGTTGCCCTGCCCTGCCCTGCCACCCCCCGTTTGTTTCCCCAGAGCTCGCCCATTCACCCATTCCTCCTCGAGCCCCGCTATGGGCCAGGCCCGGTATTCGTTGGGCTGGGCTCAGAGAGTGACAAAATAGACAAAAAACTCCCAGCCCTCTTGGAAACCCCAGCCCAGCGACAGAGACAGACAGCAAACAAGCAAATGAACGAGAAGCCACAAGCAGCGACAAGAGACTGGTGTGATGGAGAGGGGCGGGGAATTTGCTTGGTTGTTGAAGGACCAGAAAATAGCCCATTGTGGCAAAGCCAAGCTGTGAGGAGCAGGGGACAGGAGAGAGGGCAGCAGGGGCGGTCTCTTTCTTTCTTTTTTTTTCTTTGGAGGGAGTCTCACTCTGTTGCCCGGGCTAGAATGCCGTGGCATCTGCCTAACTCACAGCAACCTCAAACTCCCGGGCTCGAGCGATCCTCCTGCCTCAGCCTCCCGAGTAGCTGGGACTACAGGCATGCGCCACCATGCCCGGCTAATTTTTTTTGTATATATATATTTTTTTTAGTTGGTCAATTAATTTCTTTCTATTTTTAGTAGAGACGGGGTCTCGCTCAGGATGGTTTCGAACTCCCAACCTCGAGCAATCCGCCCGCCTCGGCCTCCCAGAGTGCTAGGATTACAGGCATGAGCCACCGCACCCGGCCTTATTTTTTATTTTTTAAGAGACGGGGTCTCCCTCTGTTGTCCAGGCTGGTCTTGAACTCCTGGTCTCAAGTTATCCTCCCACCTCAGCCTCCAGAGTTGTGGGGACTACGGGCATGAGCCATGGTACTGGGCTGGGACAACACATTTGTTACCTCATAGTTTCTGTGGGTCAAAAGCCAACATGGCTCTCACCAGGCTAAAATCAAGGTGTCGGTGAGGACGTGTCCTTTCTGAAGATTCTGGGGAAGAATCCACTTCCCAGCTCATTCAGGTTGCGGCCTGTTGGCCGGGGGCCACCTTTAGCTCCTAGAACCTTGTCTCCAGCCCTAGACCTCCTGCTTGGGCCCCCATCTTAGAGCCAGCTTCGGGGTGTCAAATCCTTCTCCCACCTGGGATCTCTCGGACTTCCCCTTTTGGTCCATCCCCTCTGTCCACCCCCTGCTGTTGAGGGCTTGTGTGGTTAGACTGGGCCCACCCGGATGCCCCAGCATGATCTCCACATCCCAGGGGCCGCTGCTTCACCCGTATCTGCGAAGTCCCGTTTGCCGTGTCATGTGGACTGTGCACAGGTTCCGGGGTGATGGCACAGACCCCCTCTTGCGGGGGCCACTCACTCAGCTCACCACCACAATCGTATCACCTCCTTGCTGGGGTGCTGTAGACCGATACGAGACTGATGGAGACCTAGACCTGGATTCCAGCTGTGTGTGTCGCTGCGCCTCTCAGCCTCAGTTTGTCCTTCTGTCAAATGGGAAATGATGACGCTCATCTCATCAGGGTCACGGGATAGGTGCAGCATCAGGCTGGCACGCAGCCGCCTGGCTTCTGCCGTGAATCTGTTTCTGCTCATGTCACAGCCACGTGCCGTTAGACTGCTCTAGTGTCATAATGGCACGACTTTGTATTGCCGCTGAAGGGGAGAACCAGCGTGACCTGCTTCACGTAGACGGTGACCAAAAATAGAGTCATGGGTACCAGACTAGCGGTCTCACTTTGCCTGGGCCGGAGGGATGTGGGGCAAGAATGGGCCGGCCCTGAGCTGAGATGTTCTCCCTGGTGCATCCGGGAGGAGGAGGAGGAGGCTCCCGTCCCTGCCGAGCCATCAATGTGGTTTAGTTCTGGTCCACGGGCCACCTGCGTCCTACGGGGCCCAAAACACAGGTCTACCTGCAACCTGCGAATGCGGCTTATGTGGAAAAAGGGTCTTTGTGAGTGTAATCAGGTGACGGGTCTCTAGGCGAGATCGCCTGGGGTTTAGGATGGGCCCTAAATCCAAAGGGAGGTTGGAGGGGTGTGGCCACAAGCCACCTGACGCTGGGAGGGGAAGGCAGGATCCTCCTAGAGCCTTTGGAGGGGCACAACCCTGCCGACCCCGTGAGTTTGGACTTCTGACCTCCAGAACTGCAAGAGCATAATTTCAAGCCACCCAGGCCGTGGCAGTTCATTGCCACAGCCCCAGCAACTCAGGCCCACCTGTAGTGTCATTGTCTTTTATCGATGGTAGCACCATCGTGCCATTTCCCCTTTTGTCAGACATTTGTTAAGTGCCCACAAGATGGCAGGCACCACCCAGGTGTTGGGGTTAAAGCAGGAAGCAAAGCCTCAAATTGCTCAGGTGCAGTATGGTCAGGTGACTTCACTGGCCACATGGAGAGTAGAGGGAGGGGACACCACCGGCAAGGTTTCTGGCTGTAGAGCCCCCCACCCCGCCACTGGCCTTCCCAGCCAGTACCCAGAGTCTGCAGCCCTGGCCACACCTCCAAGCCACCTGGGGGCAGTGCTGGGGCCACCCTGGGGGCAGGCAACCTTGGTGGACGTGGCCCTCCTGGCTTGGCTGGTCTCTGAGCACCCAGGGGTTATAAGGAGCCTTTGGGGCTGAAGACCAGATCCTGTCCCGCCCTGGGGAGACCCGTCACTTCCTGTTACCGTGGGATCATTCCAGAGCCTCGTGTCAGGGTCCCTGCTGTGTCCTGTCCGGTTTCGCTTCCCAGCGCTCTGCTGTCTCGGGTGGACGGAGCGGCCCCTGTGCTTCTGCACCCAGGGCCTCGCGGACAACTTGGCAGTCCTGCAGGGCCGGTGCACTGTGGGTGTTATGGACAGGCCAGCTGAGGCCACTCTCGTACCCCTGTGGCATCCCACTGTGTCCTCACCAAGACCCTGGGCAGGCGCGGTGGCTCACGCCTATAATCCCAGCACTCTGGGAGGCCGAGGTGGGAGGATCACTGGAGGTCCAGAGATCAAGACCAGCCTGAGCAAGAGCGAGACCCCCAAATAGGGAAAGAGGAGGTCAAACTACTGCTCTTTCCTGATGACATGATCTCATATCTGGAAGAGTGAGAACTCATCTCTGTGAAAAGCACAAAAATTAGCCAGGCGTGGTGGCTTGCTCCTGTAGTCCCAGCTACTTGCGAGGCTGAGGCAGGACGACTGTCTGAGCCCAGGAGTGTGAGGCTGCAGTGAGCTGTGACTGCACCACTGCACTCCAGCCAGCCCGGGCGGCCGACAGAGCAAGACCCTGTCTCCAAAAAAAAAAAAAAAAAAAATACCCCAAGAGCTGGTGTTTGTCTGTTTTAACTGAGGGGACAGCATGTTGCCCCAGGCTGGCCCTCCTTGCTGATGTCCACCTCTTAGGGTCACCTGAGAGTTACTTATTACTTATTTAGAAGGCACCACGTTCCCAATCACGGCCAGCTGCCCAGCCTGCCACCAGGGCCCCTTGGTGACACCTGTCTGAGCTGGGCTGGAGCCAGGCTTCCCACGGCCTGGGGTGAGAACATGTTGCCGCCCACACCGCTGCCCCGGGCTGGGGCAGAGGAAGAGGGCACGGTGGCTTGGAACCTGTGGTTCTCAGCCTTGGGGGTGGCATTGCTGGTGAGCCCCCAGCTACAGGACGCTGGATCCTTTGTCCCCATGCCTTGGGAGCTGGCAGGCCATCTGGCTGTGTGTTTTCCCAGGCCTCTCAGTTTGGAGACTGTTTGTGTGGTAACCCTGAGGTATCCGGGCCCACATGCTCTTGACCTTCCCAGCCCCAGGTGGCCTGTGCCAAGGCCCTGAGCCACGGGCTAAGCTACCCTGTGCCCACTCAGAAGTCAGGTAGCACCCGGAGCAGCATCCAGAGCTGTTCCCCCTAAGGAAGGGCCCCCAGCCTCCTCCCAGCTCTCAACCGAACGTTGTGGTGGTCACCTGCCTTCTGCTCCTTAGTTCTGTGCAGTGGCCGGGCCAGGGGGGCATGGCCCAAGTACGGGGCAGTCCCTGGGTTTCCCGTGGCCTCGCTGGGTGCAGTTGTCACTGCCCTGGGGCAGCCACCCTGAGCTCGGAGTGTGCTGAATGAAGCACAGGCAGGATGGGAACAAGCCCTGCCTGCTTGCGGCCGGAGGCGCTGGCTCCTCACTGTGGCTGGAGCGGCCACAGCACTGTGGGACAAGCAGGAGGCCTGGTCGAGCCCCCTTCCCAGGGTGGTGTTGGGCAGGAGAGCGGTGCCCTCCACGCAGGGTGGCCACGTCACACGACCGGAAGTTACAAGCAGTGGAAGACCAGGGCTGGGCCCTGCCAGGTAGGCCCCCTGCCCCCAGCCTCTGGGGGCCCATGTGGGCCTGCCGTGCCTTGGCCTGCCCCTTGACCCACCTGTGTTCCCACAGCTGTCGAGCCCAGAGAGAGACGTGGAAAGGGACGTCTTCCTGTACAGAGCGTACCTGGCACAGGTGAGAGCTGGCCCGTGACCGGTTGGGCGGCAGAGTAATGACCAGAGTGCTGGGGCGGGGGCTGAGTGCACAAGGGGCCACAGAGAGGGGCCCCAGGCCTGCAGGGTCCAGTGACAGTGTGGCTGCCACAGGTGACTGCCACAGGTAGATGGCTGTGTCACCGAGATCCTGGGCCCCTAGGCCGGGGAGGCCTGTGTTGGGGTTTCTTGATTTAAAAAAAAACTGATCGATTTTACTTGTTTAGTGCAGTTTTGGGTTTGCAGAGTAATTGAGCAGACGGTGCACAGAGTTCCCTACGTACACACACACACACACACACACGGTTCCTCCCCTTGTTGACGGCTCACGCCAGCGAGTGGCGTTCGGTGACACTCCAGCGATGCTGCGCCGTCATCAGCAGTTTCCTGGGTCTGTGAGCGCCTTTTCCCCTCGGAGCATTCCGGAGCCTGACGGGCCTGCCCCTGTGCCTGGACCTCCAGGGCCGAGCCCAGCCCCAGGTGGCGTGTGCCGCCGGCGTCCCCTCGGCAGGTCTCCCAGGTGGTTTAGACACTCTCACATGTGCGTGTGTGCGCACCTGTACGCACATGTGTTTTGGAGATTAGCACGTGCGAGTGGCAAGGAAAGAATGGAAGCCGTCTGGGGAGGGGCACAGCAAGGGACAGGCCCCCTGGCTCCCGGGTGGCCATAGGCAGCAGTCTGGTGTCAGCAAGAGGGGCTGTGGCCAGGGCGGGGGCTCGTTCTGCTTATGGGAGCACGCGCCCACCCCCCCACGGCCGCTGCGTCCCCCAGGTGCTCACCCGCCCCCACCTGTTGTCACCACCGGAGGCAGACAGCAGGGGTGGCAACCCGCCAGGGCCTCCAGCTCGGGCACTGGGCAGCGTGACCTGACAGGGCACACCTGCTACCTGTGACAGCCCCGCCATGCCGGCCTCCTCCTTGCGTCGCAGTGGTGGTGGCCCTTGGCAGGCAGAGGGGTCCCTGGCGGAGGCTCTGCCAAGGCGATGCTGGCAGCCAGGCCAGGGGCATGGGAATCCTTCGGGAGGGCGGGCGCAGCGACGCGTGTCTGTCCCCACTGCAGAGGAAGTACGGTGTGGTGCTGGATGAGATCAAGCCCTCCTCGGCCCCCGAGCTCCAGGCCGTGCGCTTGTTCGCCGAGTACCTCGCCCACGAGAGCCGCAGGTGAGGCCAAGCGGGAAGGGCGGGCCAGCCTGGGCACGGGGTCGCCTCCCAGGCCTGTCTGTCGTGAGCTTGGGCGTGCATGCAGAGGGCACAGCGCCCATCCTCTGATGTCCCTCAGGCAGGGTGTCACTCCCCCCGTCCCCTCACTGCTCTGTGCCTCAGTTTCCCTTGCCTGCACAGGAGAGGGGGAGAGATGGCCCCTGCTTCAGAGGAAGGGGTCAGGGAGACGAGGATGTGTGTACAGATACCTCGGGGACCAGGAGGTGCTCTCGGAACCTGCTGCTGCAGGTGGCAATTACTGCACAGCGCTGGGCACCCCAAGAGAGCCCCGTGTCCCCCGGGACAGTGCAGGCTGTGGTGAGGGCAGTGGCTTCTCCGGTTTTCTGACCAGCGCCGCTCACCCCCGCGCTCGGGCAGGCCCCTCCCGCCAGCTCCAGGTCTGCCCAGAGGGGGCCGAGTCACCTGTGGATTGTCTGCTCCGGAGCCCCATGGGGGCGGGTGAGGCCATGCCAAGTCCTGCCCCCAAGTCACAGTCCAGTGTTGCTCAGACGCCCATGGGTGGCAGCCACGGGGTGAGAGGGGGCCGGGCAGAGGGGACCCAGGAGTCCCCTCCTGCTAAGGAGAGCTGGGGTGACACCCCGCTGTTGCCCTGCCCCCTCCTTGCCCCTGGAAGCAGCACCCCCAGCGCCATCTCCCTTCACCTGAGGAGCCCAGAGGCTCCTGGGAGTCGACCCACGTGCAAAGGTGGTGCAGTGGGGTGACTGGTGGCCCCCCAGAAGATACGGCCCTGTCCTATCCCAGGTACTTATGGATGTTACTTGGAAAAAGGGTTTTTGCAGATGAAAGTAAGGTAAGGGTCTCCAGATGAGGTCACCCTGAATTTAGGGTGTCCCTGAAACCAACAACTGGTGTCCTTATCAGAGACAGAAGGAGACAGAGAGAAAGCCTGTGTGAAAAAGGAGCCAGAGATGGGGTGATGCCCCTACAACCCATGGGTCACCACAGGTCGCCAGTGGCCTCTCCCCAGGAGAGGGGCCTGGGACGGTTCTCAGAGCCCCGAGCGGGATCCAGCCTTGCCGCCAGCTTGGTCTCCGGAGCCACCAAGAGGGAACAAATCCCTGCTGTCTAAAGCCCCCGGGATGCGCTACAGGCTCAGACTTGAAGCCACTTGTCCATCAGGGCCTGGCGGTGCAGCCAGTTCTCGGTGGAGCCTGGATAGTGGCAGATGTGGCCCACCCTCGGGGACCTCAGACACAGGTGCCTGGTGACCAGTCCCCCAGGGAGACCCGTGCGGACTGTTATGGGGTCACAGAGCCCCGTGTGGCCCAGAGGAGTGGAGGCCTTGGTCTGGCAGTGACCCCTTTGCCTGCCTTCTGTGGGCGGCTCAGCAGCCCTTGCAAGTGGGCCGTGGCTCTGTTTTCCAGCTAGGGGGACGGAAGCTCTGGCGACCTGTGGCCTGGGGGGCCGCCCAGCTGGTCCTCAGCGTTGCCGGAACTCGAGCCCAGGCCTGGCCCCTGGCACGTTGTCCGGGTGCAGCCGGCAGGCTGGGCTCTCAGAAACCAAAGGTGGCTGTCCTGGCAGTGGGGGTGTCCAAGGGCTCCCCGCTGGCTGTCATCTGGGGGCTCCTGTCCTCCCGCATAGCCACCCTTAACACCTGGCCGAGGTCCCACTCCAGCCCTTGGCCTTGAGGCCCACAGGGCTGACCCAGTATGGTCGGGCGTCCCTGCCAGGACCACCAGCCTCCCGGGGAAGGTGGGTGATGCTCACAGTGCTTCTCATGTCCCCTCGGGGGGCACCTGCCGTGCCACCCAGTTCCTACTGAGCCCGGGGTGCCTTGGACACCATAGCCCCTGAGCGCTGAGGGACGCTGGGGCTCTGCAGTCGTTCACGCTGCTTCCCGGACAGAGCTGGGCACAGCCCCTCTGGGCCTGCAGCACCTGGCCCCCCTTCTCCCGGCCTCAGTGTCCCCTTCTGTACAAGGCGAGCAGTGCCTCGTGGGAAGGTGAGCGGCGGGTGCTGCTGGGCGCCCTGGGGCCTGGCTCACCTTCTCGTAGAGGTCACCTGGGGACCCGGCCCCCTCCTGGCCCCGGGTGTGGCTGCTCAGCGTCTGCGTCTTGCAGGGATGCCATCGTGGCCGAGCTGGACCGCGAGATGAGCAAGAGCGTGGACGTGACCAACACCACCTTCCTGCTCATGGCCGCCTCGGTCTACCTCCACGACCAGAACCCGGACGCCGCCCTGCGGGCCCTGCACCAGGGGGACAGCCTGGAGTGGTGAGCAGCCCCCACTGCCAGGCTGCACTCGGCCTCGTTGGCCGTCGTCATGGCAGCGGTGAATGAGGCAGCCCTGACACGAGGCCCAGTCTCCTGTCTCCTGTCCGCGCTCCAGCTCCCACAGCGCCCGGGGCTGCAACCCTCTGTCCCCGAGGGCAGAGCAGAAAGCGCCTTTGTCTCTGCTCTTGGTTTCCATCCCCCGTCCCGCTGCCTTCCTTTCCGAGGCCCTGGGCCGGGTCCCTCAGGCCTTCTTGGGCCCCCCAGGCCAGCCCGGCTTCAGGCTCTCTGCAGTCAGGGTGCTGGAGCTCGCTGCGGGGTAGCCGGCGCCACCCTCCACCCGGCACGGCCCCTGGGCCCCTGCTGTGTCCAGGGTGCCGGTCACAGAACACATGCCCGCCCTGCCCCCTGAGCTGTCCCCACAGTGCCCGCCTGCCTCCTCGAGCTGTCAGTTGGCTGTCACACAGTCATCGTGTGCTCCCTCACGTGCCACCTCCGTCCGCAAAGGGACCTGCAGGGGCCTGGAGATAGGGACGGTGCCCGGCGAGCGAGTCAGCACTCAGCGCTGGTCTCGGTGCCGCCTCTGGTTCTGGTGGGAAGACGGCAGCAGGTGGCCCCATGAGTCACAGCCGCCCGGGGACGAGGGGACAGAGAGCGAGTGGCCCCCAGGGCCCTGCACCCGAGCCAGGCGCGACCGTGGGTCCCTGCCCTGCTGTGGAGCGTGTCCCTGAGCGCCCACCCTCTCGGGGCTGCTGGCCAGTCCAGGGCGGGTCCCTGTCTGCAGACGGGGTCAGTTGCGGCTCCGCCTCGGAGTGGGCAGCGGGCCGGCCGGGAGTCTGGGTGCGCACCCCGGGCACCCACCGGGGCTCCCGGGCCTGAGCAGGCTCCGAGGAGAAACGTGGGAGTGAGGGTGCCGCCCTGCAGGGTGGGGCCGGGGCCGAACTCCCTTAGAGAAATTAGGAACATTCGGACCCAGGGAGGGAGCCCCCAGTCGGGGAGGGGGCCCTTGGGTGTGTCTGCAGCCCCCTGCTGAGTAGCGCCACCCGCCCTGTCCTGTCCTGTCCCGCAGCTCGGCCATGACGGTGCAGATCCTGCTGAAGCTGGACCGCCTGGACCTGGCCCGGTGAGCTTCCCCGCACACCTCCACCTGGGGCGCCCGGCCACCTCGGGACCCCACGTGGCCCGAGCCCCCTGCTGCTCCATGGCTCCTCCCTGTCACGCTCCGTGAGGGTGCGGGCTGTCCTTCACCTCTCTGCAGTGTGTCTCGGGGGGCGAGAGGCATTGCTGTGGGTGCCTCAGTGTCCCCCTGTGAGGTGGGGACGGGGAGGCTGTGCCTGTGAGCACTGGTCACTCGGTGCAGTCCCTGACTCCAGCCGCCTCTCAGAACAGCCTGGAGCTGGCATGGCTGGGTGGAGGCCGTGGGCGGCTGTTGGGGACTCGGCTCGCGCAGGCCCGGGGCCCTGGCCCGGGACTTGTTCGCACCGTGCCTTCCTCTTCGTCTCTGCCTCCTCAGTTCTCGAGTCCCCCTCAGCCCCACCCGCCCGCCCGCCAGTGCTGGGTGCCCTCGGGGGCAGCGGGTGGGGACAGGCACATGAGTGTGCAGGGGAGCGTGTGGCCGGAGTTCCGAGGCTCCGCGCCCTGAGGAGGGGGTGGAGTGCGCCGGGTGTTGCCGTGGCCACTCAGCGCCCTCCTGTCCTCTCGCCCGCCCCCAGGAAGGAGCTGAAGAGGATGCAGGACCAGGACGAGGACGCCACCCTCACCCAGCTTGCCACCGCCTGGGTCAACCTGGCCGTGGTGAGCCCCAGGGCTGGGCAGCAGGCAGGGTCATCGGTCCCCGGCCCAGCGGGGTCTGTGGGCAAACCCCTCTGTGTGCCTTGGCCACCAGCCACTCTGTGGGGACCTCGCTCCAGTGGGAGGCCAGGGACCACCCTCTGCACCGCTGGCAGCGGCTCCGGCTTCCCTCAGCCAGGCCTCTGCTTGCGCTTTCCGTAGCCGAGCGACTCGGCCAGAGCGAGTGGGCAGGCCAGGCGCCGTGGCTCACGCCTGTCATCCCAGCACTGTGGGAGGCCGAGGCAGGAGAATGGCTCAAGGTCAGGAGTTCGAAACCAGCCTGAGCAAGAGTGAGACCCCTGTCTCTACTAAAATGTATTAAGAAATTAATTGGCCAACTAAAAATAGATAGAAAAAGTGAGCCGGGCATGGTGGCGCATGCCTGTAGTCCCAGCGACTCGGGAGGCTGAGGCAGGAGGATTGCTTCTTCATCCTAGGAGTTGGAGGTTGCTGTGAGCGAGGCTGACGCCACAGCACTCTAGCCCGTACAACAGAATGAGACTCTGTCTCAAAAAAAAAAAAAAATAAGCAAGGGGGCGCCCCAAAGCCAGAGGTGGGGCTGGCTCTCCCTGACACGCCTGGCAGCGTGTGCCCCTCCCCCGCTCAGCTCTGCTGTCTGGGCTCCTGGTACCTGGCCAGCCACGGCGCGAGTGTTCCCGTGGCCGCTGCGGGGGTGTCCTCGGCCCCGGCCTGGGCTGCCCTGCCTGGCAGCAGCCCCTCCTCTGGTTCCTGGGACTCGGCTTAGCTCGGGCCCATCACAATGTGTGCAGGGGGCTGGGGCCTCCCCCGGCCGACGGGTGTGCAGCGTCTGTCCTGTTTAGTGGGACAAACCAAGCAGATCTTTCTGGAAACTTAACCTTTCTTCAAAGCCCACCTTGGCCTCAGCCTCCCCTTGCAAGTGTCACTCGGTGTCATCAGCAAGTAGACAGGTCAGGGCCACTGGCCACGGAGCTGCCTCCACCTCTCACGGGCCCTGTGACCTGAGCCCGGCCCCACCACCTGTGCCTTGAGTCTCCCTCTGGAGGCCTCGGTTTCCGCATCCATAAGGCGGGCGCCGGGGAGCGGGGTGGCCGCGCATCTCCCGGCCTCATCAGAAGAGCATGAGGCTGGGGGAGGGGTGTCAGCAGCGAGGCGGTGGCCAGGCTGGAGCCTCTCCGCTGTGCGAGGGGCCGGGCGGGGGAGGGCCGGGCAGCCAGGTGACCAGCG